TTTTATATCTGTGATCTGTTTTATTGTTTTTAATTATTTTTTGCTCTATGTGAAGCACTTTGTGATGTTTGTGTCTGTGAAAYGTGCTATAGAAATAAAGTTTACTTACTTACTTACCTTTTTAAAAATGTAGTGAGTAGAAAGTACAGATAATTGTGTAAAAATGTGATGAGTAAAAGTAAAAAGTACGCCGAAAAATAATTACTCAAGCAAAGTACAGATAACCAAAATTTCTACTTAAGTACAATAACAAAGTATTTGTACTTAGTTACTTTACAACTCTGTTTATTAAACAGAATTGGTGGAAAATCTAAGCTGGTTATGTTTATTTAGTGTCTCTACTGGAAGAAATCTGGTAGAGTTTACATAAAAAGAAGAAGAGTGAGCGCTCTTCGCGGAGAACGCGCACGCTGCCAAAGATCCTTCACTGCGCTCGCTCGACGCGGAGCCGGAGCTCGAGCTGCTGGTGGGGGATTTCCAGCGAGAGCTCTCACTTCCCGCAGCAGCAGTCGTTGTTTTGCTTTCGGTCTGAAAGCAGAAACAGAAATAAAGCGCGGTCAAACCTTTCCCTTTCCCCGCCTAACGACTTGTCCGACTCCGCTCGGACCACGGCAGCACCGCGGGGCGTCAGGACGGGCCGTCCAGACTGAAAAAGGTGAGGAAGCGTTGAATTTCCGCGTGTCAGAGCCGCCGCGCCGCGCCGCGCGCATAAACAACACTGTGACTTCCTGCAGGACGACATGACAGACCCGCAGCTCTGTAAGTGAAAGTACCGCTGTAGTTTTCTGCTCGTAGCGTTTATTTTCACTTTTGGCTTCGTTTTTGGGTCAGCGTGCAGCAAACCTTTGACCCGAGCTGGTCCGGACCGGACCGGACCGGACGCTTTAGAATCCATGCGGGTCGGTGTTTTAGGATGAGTTTATTCATGGCGTCACTTTGTGTCAGGGTGAAGTTTAGTAAACATTTACTGGTTTTATAATTTATTATTCTCTGCTGTGATCGAGTCATTCAACCGTGTTTCTACGCACTGCTGTAGTTTTTATTTCTCTATCCACGCGCCTTTCTGTTAGTAAAATATCCTGATTTTAGTTTTTAACCCAGTAAGTAATAAATGGACGTGTTCCTGCTGCTCACCTGTAGTTAGCTCTGTTCAAGATGGCCGCCTGAGCTAACAAAAATACCCCAAACAAATAATTTTACATATCCAACCAGAATGAGGATAGTACTTAACACTGAGTGCTACTGTTCAATATGTTTGTGTCTGTTAGCAAAATATCCCCTGAACCACCTGTGGGGTTTTATTAAAGCTTTCAGAATGTTGGTTTAAGATGGATCAGACTGTAACAACACAAAACTGTGTACAGCTCAGGTGTTTTTACACAAACTGAGTTAAACTCTGGGCTGGTGGTACCTGAGAGTCATCCACAACACGTCCTCTGAGGGTCACGTGTTATTTTCAAGGTTTGACAAAAACTGATGTTTGCCACCTTTCAGATGTTCCTGATGTAAAACAGACCGGCAGGTAGGGTTGGGCATAATCGTATCGTGTGTGATTAATCGTCAGAAAAACATTAATTGATTATTTTTTGGCACTTGACGATTAATACGATTAATGCCACCAGGCAGACTGACTGGATATTT